GCCGGGAGCGCCCGAGCGCACGACGGCCGCAGAGCCCAGGGCCGGCCGCGCCACCCGCCTCCGACTCGGTTAAGACAGTTTTGTATCATTTTGCTAAAAATTACTGGCTTAAATCTGTGTAAAGAAATCTTTTTATTGTTTCTCTCGTCTGTCACGGTCTCAAAAACGATGCTGACCTGAGAGGCCAGGGCGGGCGCCTGCGTGTCGCGTCCCGGCCAGCCCCTTTGCCCCGGCCGTCCAGGCGGCGAGCGGCCGCGGCGGTGCTTCTGGAGGCCGCGGGCGCCGGTGCGGCGCCGTCTGGCCCCTGGGAGTCGGAGGCGGGACTGGAACAGACTGCGCCTGCCGCGCCCGGAGCCCCGAGGCCCGGGCGGAGGGGTGGGGCGGACCCCGTCTGGCCAGAAGGACCCTCTGGGCTGCGGACACTGGGCACTTGGTGGAGGCGGGCGCCAGAGCCCCATCCGGGGTGTGGCCGTGGGCATCCTGCAGGACCCCGAGGGCCAGCGGCCCCACTGCCCCAGGCTGCGTGGCGGAGCGGTCGGCGTGTTGGCGTGTGTCCACCGTCTGTACTCGGCGGCGTGTAAATAATAAACTCCGAGGACTTCCCCCGTGTCTGTCTTCATTTCACCGCATGGACGGGGCCTTCCGGCCGGTGGACAGCCCCGGTGGCTGGCCTGATTGGAGGACCAGGCTGCGCTGGCTGCCCCTGGCAGGGTGGGGCGTGGAGTGGGCCCCGAGGCCAAGGCAGGGCGGTCCAGGGCCTCATCCCCGCCTCGCCGCCTGTAGGGAGGGCTCTGGGTGGCCTGGCCCCTCTGCTGCTGCTACACTGGGCAGTCCCGGGCCGAGCCGCCCTCTCCCCACGTCCTCCCCTTGGGGCGAGGCCCAGCACCGCCGCCCTGAGCCCCTGGTAGCTGCAGCGGGGACGGTGGCTGGCCGACTCCTGTGCCGAATGACAGCCGGGGCCTGGGCCCAGTGGCCCCTGACCGCCCCAGTCCTCCCTCCCGCCTGCCCTGCCAGCTGGGCCCTCACAGGAGCCCAGCGCAGCTGCCCAGCAGCTCGGGGTCCCCTGGAGTCGGGCACTGCCCACCTCGGTGTCCGGTGTCCAGAGCACGGGGCGCGGTGCACAGAGGAGAGCGTGCTCCGGCCAGCAGGGGCAAGGCTGTAGCCTGGCCTGCCGAGCCTGTCCAGGGCACAGCCCCTCCCCCCCACTCCGGGACAGCCCCGTGGCCCAGGGCTCCCCCAGGCCGAGGCGGGCCGCGGTGGCCCCGCGTGAGTCTTGCTCGCTTGTCGTTGCAGAGGAGCCGCGAGGTGGCGTCTCTCCGGCTGCACGCTGCCCGCCAGGGCGCCCGCAGCCGACCGCAGCGCCCACGACGCACAACCTACTGAGCGCCAGCACCAGACGGGCCGGCCACGCG